TTTATCCAATATTATACTGATACGCAGCATTTCATAAGCTTCGTCAAGTCTTCTCGTCACCCATCCCTCAATGTCTCAAGTCGAAAATCTTCGACCAGTGCGTCCTCCCAGTTATGACATACGGCGCCGAGACGTGGACACTCACGGCTGGACGAGTCCACCAGTTTAGCTCAGAGAGCTATGGAAAGGGCTAGCTCGGAGTATCCCTGAAGGACCGCATCAGAAATGATGTAATTCGTAGGCTGGCTGGAGTGGGCTGGATGATAGTAGCACAAAATCGGGAGCAGTGGCGTGCATTAGGGGAGACCTATGTCCAACAGTGGACGAACATGGGTTGATGATGATGACGATGATACTGATACGAAAATCTCATCGCCTTTTTTGATTAATTTATTTTCTGCCTCACGCCACTAACAAAGTTTCTTATCTTCTAATCATTGAAATAATTAAAATGTTGTTTTGACACAGCAAAGTATTTGTTAATAAATGCGAATACCTAAATTACACACTACAATAATTAAGTAATTCGTTTACGTATTTAGACCAAAACACAAAACAAACTTATGTAACAACGATGCTGCCGCATTAGTAAGTCTATAAGTAGAGAATGAATGGAATTTAAATATACTAGTGCAAATCCTAAGTAGTTCACATGTACAAAGGAAATTCGGTAATAGTTATCCACTGAATAATTCGCAATGGCCTTGTTAGAGATTACAATGGCGAGCAAAATAAATGCTCGCAACTAATCCTTTAGAAGTGTGCTGTGAATATTTTCATTAATAAATACATAAACGTGAAAACTTATTAAATGTTCTTGTATTGAATTTTATATTTTTATATAGTAAAAATACAGAGTGAAAGACACTACTTTTAATTGGTTTAATTTGTGTATAAACAAAGTTTCAAATGTATCCTGTAGGTTTATTTGAATCTTGAAGGTTAATGTGCATTTTAGTTTTATGTTTAAATACTTCCCTGTTATTGTAAATAAATTCAGAATTATTAAAAATTAACCTGCCACGAAACTTAAAAAGCTCTTCAAATAAGTGGTGATATCTGATAACGGATAAATACTAATGGATCACCTACGGCATGGACCAATAATATTATTGGTACATGCCTACGGTCAGTATCAACAATCACACTGCAGTAAAAGATGAGCCTAATCGACTTGAATGACAAAATGTATCAATCAATTAGATTGAAATAACAACGAAACTAAACCGGAATACTCTTACTTTTTACTGGAGGTTGATAACAGAAACTGACTTAAAGCAAAGAGACACATTATTTTGACAGCAACTGTAAACGAATTAATTCGACTCGTGTGGTATTTGACTTACATTTTTTGTTTAAAGTGGATCTTTTAAGTAACATAATTACTATTTGTCAACGCTTTAATTTAGTCGCAATCATTTTTAATTATTTTTGTCATGTATTAGATAAATAATTAAATATTATAATAAATACTTATTATTCTGAGTTAAAAATAAAAATCACCTTATTTTGACGAACATTGATATGTAAGTGTCCTTTTTATTATATTCCATGTCATACATCAAATATTTTAAATGAAACCATAAAGACATAAAGAAAGTAGAGAATTTAAGATGTGGTATGCATTGTACCATGAACCATATCTCAACACTTATTATTTACATCGAGAGATTTAATGTATAGAAGAGATTGCGTTAATTAGAAATATTATTACAGGCCTCTAACGTAGAACCATTAATTTTACAAATTTCATAATTCTAATCCAGAGAATGATATCTTAAGAAATTCTGAGAAATTCATTATTTGTGTATAGTATGGTATAGTAGTCACTTAATAAATATAAATCATATAAGGATTTCACCTACCTGATCTAATCTAATTCATAAAAGGATTTTACTTAAATCATTAAAGAAATAGCTAATTCCATATTAGGAGAAAGCATATCTAAGATTTATTACAAAATTAACTTAACAAGAGCCTATTAACTTAGATATCCACACTTTACCTAGTACACGCATCACGATTCCCATCAACTTGTCAAAAAACGTAACACAATCGAAGTCTAATGGACTTTCGGACCTTGAGGAGTATGTGGTGTGATGGTGTTATTAATCGGGAATTTGGAAGCACGGTGGAGTTTAAAATTACAATTTTTTTGTAACCGAGAGAGAGGAGCTCGATAACGCAAGTAGTTGGCTGCGATCGTTGAATTTAAGCAACTTTAGCAGTGGTTTGGATGGGTGACCAAAATTTACTATCTCGAGCTCCTCCTTGCGTCGGAAGGCACGTCAAGCCGTTGCTCCTGGCTGCATCTGCAGTCGTTAGCGCACCAATCCGCACTGTGATGTGGTGGGTCATGGCTCATTCTCCCTATTCCATCCATAGGGAAGGCCTATGCCCCAGCAGTAGGGGCATTAATAGGCTGATGATGACGATGAGTCACCGATTGAATAAATGTAAAATTCCGCACCGCAAACTTCGTCTTTGATTATTAAATAAACTATATCCTATGACTTCATAAAAATTTAAAAAAATATGTTAATTTTATAAATTTTTATTTTCGGGTGACTTTGGACTAAACTCCGTATGTTGTGGCTTGTCACTTATCTGATGAAGTAACCAGTTACCAATTACTGATAAAACAGCTTCACGACAGAAGGTCATACTTTTTAGTCTCATTAGCATTACTTATTTGGAACACGCATACTCATTGAAATCAATTAATAATATTATTTGTAATCCTTATCTGTACGCAATTTATGTAGTCTTGTTTACAAGTTGCGGTAATGAAAAAAAAACTGGGAGCATTGTTACAATTGCAAGTATAAGGGTAGTATTGTGTATATAAAATTTATAAAGGATTCTTATATATTTATAAAAGTGCATGCTGTGTTTGCATTTATAAGATTTATGATACCGTTAAGATACACTTGTGTATGTAATTATTTTGTCATTTTCACAATTCGGTTTTGCAAACCCAATAAAACAAAAGGTTGCAAAGATGAAAAAAAAACTTTGCGTTTGCTCGCATTGGAAGATAGCCACGCAGTCTATGCCGTAGGCAGTGCCGTCTTTGACCTATTGGAGGCCCCATTATCCTAATATGGCCAGGGCAAATGACAAAATAATTACATATACAAGTGTATCTTAACGGTATCATAAATCTTATAAATGCAAACACAGCATGCACTTTTATAAATATGTTAGAATCCTTTCTAAATGTTATGTACACAATACTACCATTATACTTGCATTCGTGTATAATTTTCGATGAAAGTATACTGTAAGATTCTTTTATGTAAAACTTCAATAGTTATCTCAAATAACTACGTAATTCGAAATGTACAATCAAGTATAACCTACTTTATATATTTTTTTGAAAATGTAACGGATACGACAGGCCTTTTTAACGGGTGTGGCACTGTATGGTTTTTCACGATTTATCGTAAATTAAAATATGTTCTTATCAGAATTGCTTTATTAAAATGACCCCCGTTTGGTGATCTAACAAGAACTAGGGACTTTGTATTTGTGATCTGGGCACTTGCCCAAAGTGCCCAATTTATGGATACAGCTTTCTCTTTAGGATTTAAGCATAAAGCCATTAACAACAAACTGCTAATATTCTTATCACATATACTCGTAAGAGCTTATTAGCGCGGCTGGTTAGCGTATTCGGCCTGTGATCCTGAAAGTTAAGCAACTTTAGCAATGGTCGGTCATTGGATGAGTGACCACAAACTTATTATCTTGAACTCCACCGTGCTTGAGAAGGTACGTTAAGCCGTTGGTCCCGGCTGCATCTGCAGTCGTTAGCATCCACCAATTCGCACTGGACCAGCGTGGTGGGTCACGGCCCAGTGTCCCTATTCCATCCATAGGAAAAGCCTGTGCCCTAGCAGTGAGTAATAAAAGATTTTTATTTGATTTGATTATTTGATTAATCAAAAGATTTAGTACAAGATAATCTTCTTATAAAAAGTAATTTGTTGCTCCGCGACAGTTCCTCCGTCGACCTCCGTGACCGAGTGATATGTATGCCGGGTTTCTTCCGGGTGATGCTTACACGGAGGTTGTGGTTCGAATCCTGGTGAGGCAAATATTTGTGTGACGAATACGAGCACAAGTCATTAATGTTTGTATGTACTTCTGTATAAAACAATGTTTATATGTATCAGTTTATGTATTCTACCCGTGACCCTAGTATCCACTAACACAAGTCTAACAGTTCTTACTTTGGGGCTAGGCTGATTGGTAGAATTGTTAGAATTATTTATTTATTTTATGAATATTAATCTCAGTATTCTATTAATACAAGCAGTGTCTCGTATTAATTCGTAGTTAGTGTACAATTTTAATAAACTTCGTTGCACTAACTCTTTGTAGTTACGTTTCATTTGTTACACTTGCACAACTGCCTTCGATTTATTATTTTTACAACAATGTTATTTCGCAATTCATAACATACCTATCGTCTGAACGAGGTAATTATTAAAATCGCTTTCACGCTTCATTAAAAGATATTGCTTGGTATAAAACCATGAAACCGTTTTCAAACACGTCATTCTAGAAAGACATCGTGCAGACACCATCATCACCTTGTAGTCAATTTTTAAGGAGGAAACGTTTGCGTGTGATTTTCAGTGAAAATAAAAAAGTAAATGTGACAAATGAAGTGCGATTTTTCTGAACGCGTTCCGATGCACAAAGTCTGTTCGTTAAATTCAACATCAATAACAAACGCAATGAGTCGTTTTTTATTTGCGTCAATATATTTTGATGAGCAGTTAACATTGCAAGTGTAATCTTAGTGATGAAAAGGTAATTGACAAATAGTTTATTTTGAGATTTAAATCGTTTTTTTTTTCACTTGCACACGTTAACCCACACACACGCATGGAGAGGGAGCCACATCGAGCGAAAGTGTTTGCAACATTGATCTACGAAACAGCTACCACGAGGTATATAATCGGAGGACTGGCTCGACACACCACACTCCAGCGCAACATTCGCTGAACATCGAGCAAAGCGAACATGAAGCTATTGGTTAGTAAACTAAATATTGAAAAAAAAACACAATATAGGTTAAAAAAAAGAAAACATATCCAAAAACGGTGCAGTGAAATTTGGAAATCGAAAAAGAGTTAACCAAATTACAAAACTGGATTAAAATTCAATCCTTTAAACTTCCTTTTTAAAAATTCTTCTAAAACTTTTGTAAATCATATTGACATTAGCAATCTGTAATATGTTATTAATGATAACTTTTTTGTTATAGAGGTCGTCTTTGTTCCTGGCCGTGGCTATAAGCCTGGCCACGGCAGAGGAGAAGGCGGAAGACACAAAGGCTGCAGACACCAAACCAGTTGAGGAGAAGAAACAGGACAAGAGAGGCCTCTCCGATTTCGGTTACGGCGACTTTGGGGGACACAGCAGCATCGGTGGAGGCGACTTCGGCGGGGAACACAATGGCGGAGGTGACATCGGCGGAGGCGACATCGGCGGTTGGAACAGCCATGGCCACCACGAAGAGCACGTGAAAACCATCACTGTTGTCAAGAAAGTGGCAGTGCCCTATCCCGTTGAGAAGCACATCCCCGTACCAGTGGAGAAACACGTGCCCGTACCAGTGAAAGTGCACGTACCACACCCGTACCCGGTTGTCAAAACCGTACACTTCCCCGTCAAGGAGTACATCAAAGTGCCCGAGTACATCCCCAAGCCGTACCCAGTGGAGAAGGAAGTGCCCGTTCCCGTTAAAGTGCACGTCGACAGGCCCGTCCCAGTGAAAGTGTATGAGCATGTACCCTACCCGGTCGAGAAACACGTGCCAGTACCGGTGAAAGTGCACGTACCCCACCCGTACCCTGTCGAGAAGACCGTACACTACCCAGTCAAGGTTCCAGTCAAGGTGCACGTACCTTACCCCGTCGAGAAAGTTGTGCACTACCCCGTCAAAGTGCCGGTCGACAACCCGGTCCCCGTTCATGTCGATAAGCCAGTGCCTGTGCCAGTCGAAAAACCCGTACCTTACCCAGTAGAGAAACGTGTACCTTACCCCGTTAAGGTGCACGTTGACAACCCAGTGCCCGTTCACGTAGAGAAACCGGTGCCTTACCCAGTGAAGGTGCCCGTACCAGCGCCCTACCCAGTGGAGAAGATCATCCCGTACCCAGTGGAAAAGAAAGTTCCTATTCCCGTGAAGATCCCAGTAGATAGGCCTTACCCAGTGCATATCGAGAAGCACGTAGCTTACCCCGTAGAGAAACACGTGCCGTACCCAGTGAAAGTTGCTGTACCACACATCATTCATGAAGAGAAGCACGAAATCTCCCACGACCATGGCCATAGCTACGGTTACGGAGATGGCGGTGACTTCGGAGGCTCCGAGGGTGGTCACGAGGAGTACCACCACTAACAGAACTGATCTCTCCACTACTTAGCTTTAACTGTTATTTTTTGTTTAGTTCTCCTTTAAGTATGTTTTATATTTTTACGACTGGTCTTTATGCGTGTTACGATGATGTAAATAGTGAACGAAAGTATTAAAAAGTGATAAATGATGTAAACAGTTACATTTTTTTTAATCTCCAAGTCCCTTAAATTTGTGAATAATAAATACATGGTACCCTTAGCACGAAACAATATCGAATTCGAATTCTTGAATAAGAACTCGATACGTGGAAAATGCCAAGATGTTTTATATTGAAGATTTCTAATTCCCTATACGCCCTTGTGGCACTGTTCAAATTTCCATACGAAACTTCTTGACAGGTATCGAAATCGAATTCGACTATTCGAATTCGATATTGTTTCGTGATAAGGATACAGAACTATATAATGGCATTAGTATCCTAATTAATTACCAGGCCCCTCTAATTGAAATTATGGCTTAAGCAATTTATCATTAATATGACTGCTTCTATAGTAACATAACTTGATCCATGACCCTTGGTCGGACACAGAGTCATAAATCTTAAGTAAAAAAATTACATTTTCCGATCTCAGTAATGAGTCACAAAACACTAAGAGACGGATTGGAAGTCAACGCAAATGGCGCAATAACTTTCTTAATGACCCTTCGGATCATTATGTTAGTGCCTTGTAAATTAATTTCCTATTCGTAATAAGCGGGCTTGAAACGTCCACGAATTGCGTAATTTTACGTAACACTCGCAGTCTCATCTAGCTATATTACGCACACAACATATCAATTACTGTAGCTCGACACACCACCGTCTTAAGACCTTAAACGGTTTAAAATAGAGTCCAAACTATGCGGTAGATTAACGGTTTTCACAAGTGCTGTAGGTCAGTAAACTGACGAAAAGATGCGAACGTTTTTATCCTGATATAGTTTTCGTAAGACCTACTGCCGATGTACTTACGAGTATGTAGTAATAGGACGTTCACACGGAATTTCAATGTGTACTCTCTTGAGACTGCATGGAGAATTCCGTTATGAGCTAATATTGTGGCAACTTTGTGTATCGTAAATAAACTCATGAGCTTTAACGCCAATAATTTAGTCTCAAATTCAGCGAAGTTTACGCGGTTATTGGTATACTATAAAAAGGTGTATACAGCATACTTTAGATGGTTTGACACCGGAACGACTTAAACGTTGTGCCAAAAACGGCTTTATTAACCAAACATAAAAATCTGTTGGTTAAATTTCTCACATATTCATTGGGTACCGGATGAGATCGAATTTCGAATATTATGAGAAGTCCCATATTATATGACTGCAAACAATTTTGCAACGGCAATGATAGTGCAAGAATTCAGTTACTTAAGTTGTTGATGTGTGATAAATAAAATCATACAAAGTAGAAGAAGACTCTTCTTTAATTACTCATCAACAAACAATTATTATATTTTTGGATAGAAATTCCCAAATCACGGTACGGCGGACTGGCGCTAAGATATAAGATTTTTCCGATAGGACGTAAGATTTTTCCGTGTCAATTTTCCTTCACGACCGTCAGCTATTTCGTAGCGTATTTAGTACACAATTGTACTTATACTTAACTAAAAATCAGTACACATTTGACAGTGCCATTTCGTACTCGCAAACTATTCGAATTCGATAATAGTTCTTGGTAAGGGTACTGTTTTAACATCGTTCCAACCGAGTGTTTCACGCCACTCCCGTTTGAGTTTTTATGACTAATATCACCATGAAGGTGCTAATTATATTTATTATTCTTAAATAATACTATTAATTCTATTTATTATTCTTGTCATATCCGAACAATGTATCGCAATATTTCGGTCACTTCAATCTTCAAGTTATAGGGAGGAAATTGATCAAGTCAATGTGATTTTCCAGTTAAAGTGGACAAGAAGTACAAATTGGATTGAAAAAAATATGTTACGAGCTGTTATTCCAGTTGGGAGCGCGGACTTGCCAGTACATAAATCTCGTGCCGGAAGGCACTTTTCTAAGTAAAATTTACAATAAATCGTAGTAGTAAACATTACCGGTCTCAGCACACGTAAGAATCTGTGCATTATGGTCATTTGCATTTGAAATTATATTCTCGCACTTATAAGAGTAGTATATTTAGATGTTTATGATTATTTCCATATTTATCAGATAATTATAAGCTAAAGTACCTATTTTATACTACATCAAACATTAATAAAAAACATCGTTGGTTTATGATCATTTTTGTTAGTTTATATAAAAATAATATAATAGGTAGTACAACTAGCGCCATCTAGAATAAGGTCTGTGTCACATGTGACATACATACATTCCTTCTTATATGAAATAAAGTTCAGTTCGTTCCAAGTGAATCAAGTAACCACGTCGTTTTATTTAATAGGTTATGGGCCCAGACTATGGCCTTTAGTTTTTTAGCTAATTATCGCGAAAGTTTGAAATATCAAGTTGGTGTGATAATAAATCGCAGTAGGATAATAGATTAGCTAGCATAGGCGCTCAAAAAATTTTTTGGTTAGTTTGCGTTGGATGATTGCATGCAGCAAGCACAAAATGGCGGCAAATTACATTGTCAATGTACCAAAGTTGAGAGGAAGAGAAAATTACAGCGAATGGGTATTTGCAGCGGAGAACTTTTTAATCCTAGAAGGAATGATGAAATGCATCAAACCAGAGGAAGATGTTAGATTGTTTGCCGATGATGATGCAAAAACCAAAGCAAAGCTGATTCTCACGATTGACTCTTCATTGTATGTACACATTAGAAATGTATCGACCACCAAAGAATTATGGGAGAAGCTAAGAGCCTTATTTGATGATTCCGGATTCACACGGAGAATAAGCTTGCTACGAAATTTAATTTCTATATGACTCGAAAATTGTGGTTCTATGATTGCATATGTGACACAAATTATAGAAACAGGGCAAAAGTTGTGTAATACAGGATTCGAGTTAAACGACGAGTGGATTGGTTCATTGTTATTGGCAGGGCTACCTGAAAAATATGCCCCCATGATAATGGCCATCGAACATTCGGGTATTCAGATAACAACCGACGCCATTAAAAGCAAGCTACTCGACATGGAATCAGATAACGGAACGAACGGAATGAATGATGGATCGAATGGCGCTTTGGCCAGTGGCTATAGAGCTCGGCATCACTCATCGACGGCCAGACAGTCTATGGTCAACAAAAATCATGGCGGCCAACATGGAACGACATTATCAACAAAGACGAAGAAAGAAATCAAATGTTATCGATGCAAACAAATTGGTCATTATAAGTCACAATGTACTGCGGAAGCGTCGGATAACAAAAGAAATGAGCGTAAACAAACAAATGCGTTCAGTGCGGTCTTTCTAAGCGGTAACTTTAACAGCCAAGATTGGTATGTCGATTCTGGAGCTAGCGTACACTTGACGCCGAATAAACAATGGCTCAAGAATATTTCTTACGAAAAAAAAGGGCAGACTATTATTATAGCAGATAAAACGAAAGTGCCAATTGCGTGTTCCGGTGATATAAAGATTACTACCAAAGTTAATGATTGCAGCTTTGATGTGGACATAAAAGATGTGTTTTGTGTACCGGAATTGACGACTAACTTACTATCAGTTAGCCAATTAATTCGCAAAGGGAATAATGTTATATTCACTACAAACGCTTGTGAAATTTATAATCAAAATGGTACACTGGTTGCTTATGCATTATTAAATAATGGAGTTTACAAGCTACAACTTCAAAAAGGTATGTCTGCAGCAGCAATCATATCTGGTGAGCTCTGGCATCGTAGGCTGGGTCATGTAAACAGTGAATACCTGAATAAAATGCAGAATTCAGTTGATGGATTAACCTTGAAAGAGAAAGTTGACATTACAAAGTCTACGTGTACCATTTGCTGTGAAGGAAAACAAGCTAGATTGCCCTTTACTCATATTGGTAAGAGAAGTACAGAGGTGTTGAATATTATTCACACAGACATCTGTGGTCCTATGGAGTGTGATTCTATTGGAGGTTCTAAATATTTTATTTTGTTTGTTGATGATTTTAGCAGAATGACAGCTATTTATTTTCTAAAGAACAAGAATGATGCCTTGAGCAGATTTAAAGAATATAAAGTATTAGTAGAAAATCAGACAAACAAAAAGATAAGAATTATTAGAAGTGACAATGGAAAGGAATTTTGCAATACTGAGTTTAATGATTACTTAAAGAAAATGGGAATAGTTCATCAAACAACATGTCCATACACGCCTGAACAGAATGGACTATGTGAGCAGATGAACAGAACCTTAGTTGAAAAAGCGAGGTGCATGCTTTTTGATGCGCAGTTAAGTAAGTCATTCTGGGCTGAAGCTACAAACACAGCAGTGTATTTTCACAATCGCACAGGTTTGATCGTATTGCAAGGAAAAACACCTTACGAACTGTGGCATGATGCCAAGCCAGATATTAGCCATCTGAGAGTTTTTGGCAGTATGGTAATGGTACATATAGCTAAAGAAAGGAGACAAAAGTGGGATAAAAAATCCAAAAGCGGTATTTTAGTGGGCTATGCTGATGACAGCAAAGGTTATAGAATATATGATCCAGTTAAAAAAACGATAACAACTAGACGTGATGTGATAGTTATAGAGAAGGAAAACTCAACCATAGCAGTAATTGAAAAAGAGAATATAAATGAATCCATCAAAGATACAGACCAGCCAGCTTCAGTGGGGGATATAGAAGAAAAACTGTCAGATAGTCTCACATCCCATGAAAAGTCTACAAATGACTCTGATTCTGAGTATGTACCCAGTGAGTATGAAGATGTAGAAGAAAATTTACAGGAAGTTGTGACAACTACAAGGGAAGCAAGAAAGAGAAGAGAACCTGATAGATTTGGTTTCAGTATCCAAAATGTATGTGTTCAAGAAACTGGAGATTTAACATTGAAGGAGGCGTTGACTGGACATGAAAAAGAACATTGGAGAAAAGCATTAAAAGAAGAACTTCAATGCTTTGAAGAGAATCAAGCTTGGGAGTTGGTGGATGCTCCAAATAGTGGTTGTGTGGTTCAGTGTAAATGGGTTCTAAAGAAAAAATGTGATGTGGATGGTAAAGTCTTATATCGTGCACGTTTAGTGGCAAAAGGCTTCACTCAGAGACATGGTGTGGACTACAATGAAACATTCTCCCCAGTGGTTAGATTTTCTACCTTAAGATTATTATTTGCGTTAACTGTACAATTAAATTTTAAGACTACACACTTAGATGTAAAAACAGCCTTTTTAAATGGACATCTTGAAGAAGATATTTTTATGCAAAAACCAGATTGTTTTGGTGATTTAAATGATGGCAAAGTCTTAAAGTTGAAAAAGGCTATTTATGGACTAAAACAATCTTCAAGAATGTGGTATAAAAAGGTTGAAGACTGTTTGTGTAATATTGGTTATGAAAAATCTAAATATGAACCTTGTTTATTTATTAAGAGAAACAAGAAGTGTGTAACTGTAATTGCTTTGTACGTCGATGATTTTTTTATATTTTCAAGTGATTGTAATGAAGTAATAAACTTGAAAAAGTCTTTGGGTAACAATTTCAAGATTAAAGACTTAGGTACTATAAGACATTGTTTGGGTATGCGAGTTGTGAGCAATAAATATTTTGTAACATTAGACCAAGAGAGTTATATAGACCAGTTGTTAAATAAATTTAATATGTTGGATTGTCACACATCAGATACACCAATGGAATGTAAACTTAATCTCAGTATAGGTAACAAATGTGATATTAGCCTACCATATCAATGCCTGATAGGAAGTTTGATGTATTTGTCTGTTTTAACTCGCCCAGATATATCATACTCAGTTAGTTACATGAGCCAATTTAATAATTGTTATACTAAGGAACATTGGCTACATGCAAAAAGAATTTTAAGATATCTAAAAGGAACAAAACATTATGCTTTAAAATATGACTCAAAACTTAATTCTGAAATAATTGGTTATGTTGATGCCGACTGGGGCAGTGATATTATTAGTAGGAGGTCATATACGGGTTATGTGTTTCAATTATCAGGTGCTGCAATATCTTGGGAAAGCAAGAAACAAAAGGTTGTTGCACTCTCTAGTACAGAGGCAGAGTATATAGGGATCTCAGAATGTTGTAAAGAAGCTATTTACTTGCAAAACTTGCAATGTGAAATTACTGACATTTTATATACCATTACTCTGTACAATGACAACCAAAGTGCGCAAAAATTGTTGTTGAATCCTATTTTTCATAATAAATCGAAGCACATAGATATAAGATTTCATTTCTGTAAAGAGATTGTTGCACAAAAGTTGGTAAACGTACAATATCTATGTACAACTGATATGCCAGCCGATTTGCTTACAAAAAGTTTGACTTCAATTAAGCATAAAGCATTTGTGAATGCTGTTGGCTTGGTTAAAAAATGAGATTCTTGCATTATTTTTATATAGTGGGGGTGTTAGTTTATATAAAAATAATATAATAGGTAGTACAACTAGCGCCATCTAGAATAAGGTCTGTGTCACATGTATGTCATTCCTTCTTATATGAAATAAAGTTCAGTTCGTTCCAAGTGAATCAAGTAACCACGTCGTTTTATTTAATAATTTTTAAAATTGAAAATAGTTAAAAATATATAGGTTTTGTAAAAAATATTAAAAAAAGAAAAATCTGTTTTTCACCCTCCGCTATCCAGGCGGATGCAATGACCAATTATGTTACCGCGACCTTAATGGCCGTGTTGAATTTTCTTACGCCCAGTATAAGTCTCGGCACGAAACTCTAGCGCTAACCGTTATTATACAGAAGTAAAAATTAAGATGTCCTGGGGGGGAAACGAGGTGCGCGGGTGGGCGTGTGTTGCGCCGATTGGCTCTCCAGTCGCACCCATGCGCAGCTATCCTCTCCGCGTTTTGTTCAGCGCTAGAGTTACGTGCCGCAACCTATACGTCCTGGCCCGCGTGGCTTTATTTTCTAGTAAAATTTTCTTGAAATTTAAACAATGCAGTTTTTTATTTCATTATTTCTAGAAGTACATGATCGATTGTTTTTTTATATTAAAAAAATGAAAAACCACTAAGGTTTAATGATGCGTCATAGATCGTTGCATATTTCTACTCAATTCTGTTTATCCATCACTAATCACACAACATATTTAAAGCAAAACCGTTTTAAGTTTATGCATTTATATTATTTTCACTAAGCAAATCCCTGTAGTCTGGGCCGATTTTGTTTATGAAACCAGGTAACGAGTAATCTACAGCGCGTTTGCCGTGGATGTTGTGTACAGTACAGTACGAACCAATATCGAATTCTAAATGTTTGCAAGTACGAAATGTCACTGTCTTTTGTATGGAAATTTGATCAGCAGTGCTATAACGGACGTAACGAGAACTAAAAAATACATATTTGACAAAGACATTATGCAGTAGCAAACTATTCGACTTCGATATTGGTTCGTGCTAACGGTACTGTTGTCGTGGACAACAAGCCGCGAGTGGCCGCCCGGGTGCCTTTATCGTGAATTACGGGTTTTGTAATAGAAGTATGGTAGAAGTATCGTTATTAGTTTAAATGCTTCAAAAATTAAATATACAATGAAATCTCACTAACCTTATGTAGGGAATGTTGGCCGGCACGTGGTACTTTGAGCCGGGGTCGAAGTCGAGCTCCGAACGCAACACCGGCGGCTTGATGCCCTGGTACTGTTCCCTGCAAAATACATAGAAATCAACCACAATGATCCATGCAAGTCATGTATTAAATTACTTTTAGTAGGGAAGAACGCAGTTTTAGTGCGCGAATCTATATATATAAAACTCAAAGGTGACTGACTGACATAGTGATCTATCAACGCACAGCTGAAATTTGGCATGCAGGTTATGACCAGTTTTTTAAATATTTTCTAAGCATTTTTTATGTTCAAAATGTGAAAAGCAAACATGGAGGAGCTCCGCGACTGGTTAGCGCGTTCGGCTGCGATCGTTGAAGTTAAGCAACTTTAGCAGTGGTCGGTCATTCGATGGGTGACCAAAAATCTTCTATCTCGAGTTCCTCCGTGCTTCGCAAGGCACGTTAAGCCGTTGGTCTCGACTGCATCTGAAGTCCTTAGCACCCGCCAATCCACACTGAGCCCTTGTGGTGGGTCATGGCCCAATCTCCCTATTCCATCCATAGGGAAGGCCTGTGCTCCAGCAGTGGGGACAATAATTAATTATTAGGCTGATGATGATGATGATGATGATGATGAAGCAAACATATGTATATGGTCCACCTGATCACTCACACCGTTGCTTACCCTGACCCTATCCCCTACCTCGTGGAGCCCTGAAATCTTACTCGCCGACAGAAACACAACCCCACCAAAGGCAGTTATTTTACTGAAGGGCGCTCAAATCATTTTCTTTTGGAAAACTCCAATCATTTTCCAGTGTGAAGAACTGGAAAAACATTTCCATGCCATGACCATTAGTAGAAATGCAGGTATAATAGGGGTCATGACGGGGTACAGTAAACGAAATTCTATTTAGTCCGTCAGTTAGATGATCAAAAAATAATGGACTCGTATTTTTTCTTTGGGCAATCAACCACAAAATGACAAAGTTATAGCGCGTCAAAGTTTGGGAGTAGGGGCTCGTGACGTCACTATTGAGTGAATTTTCACTTATAAGTGTACTCAAACGTGACGTCATGCGACTTTTCAAAACAATATATCTCTGCAATGTTTATATTATGTAAAAAAAGAAAAAATACGTGTCCAATACCTTTTGATAATCTACCTGATAAACGAAGAAAAAAAAAATAGTCATCATCCCTATTATTTTTTTATTATCTTTCTCCACTTAGTTATAGTAAGACTAAAAACCAGCGATCGAGCTTATGCTGATTACAATTGCTATTTGAATTTGTCAGTTACTTGCCAACAAACTGTTCACAGTTTGGCAAGATATAAAATTTTGTTATCAGGTGTACCCAAAATAATTACAATAAATCGAAAAAAAGAGAATATTTAGCCTTATCACTAATTATGTAGTAATATTCTGGGTTAAAGAAACAATACTTTATTTACTATAGCAATAAAGTTATAATTATCAATTAATGATTGAGAAACCGGGTCGGTTTGTAAACACTCTTAATCTTGTGAAGTAATAGTGGTTGAGCAGATTTCATACTGTATACACTCTACACCATGTGAAATGAAAAAATAATTCATAAGATGCAAGTTATAAGATAATGCAGTTGCTGGGACAATTTCATTATGTGAAATATATTTTAATTTTGTAATTTCATCATCGCAAGAGTAACAAGATACTTAAATAGAAGTGAAAGCAAAACGCAAACTCTTAAATGATAAATAGGTTACCTATATATAATTAATAGGTCCTGGAAGTTTCTAAATAAATTAATAATAGTTTTCCTATTGTTTCGGTATGGGTTGCTTCTGACATAGAACCATAATAACTATTTACAATTCTTAACATGATCACATACAAATTACATCGGACACATTCTGGTATTCAGTTTCTAATGTGCAACTAAGAACTGGTGGCCTATTTCAAAATAATGCCATGTTATGTTTGAGCGTTAGGGCGCATGTTAACGAGACGATTTCTACCTGTTTTCTACCCGGGTCGGTGCCGGGTAAACTTGTTCACGAACATGATTCAATAGCTTGTACCGACCCCAAGTCGTCGCTAACGCCAATGTCGTATAACAAACCTTCATAGCGCTCCATACCTTACTAGCGACCGGACGTAGATCCAGCGAAAATCGTATCGTGAAAATACGCTCTTATGCTGTTTTGGTTGACTGTCCTTCTTATCTTTTTCTTCCGCAATTTATTTCTTAAAATCATCAATCGGTAGGTCCTAATTTATCATGTAAACTGGTTTGTATGTAAAATATACACTGAGTTTACTAGCTAATTCATAACCATTCGGTGTTCATGTCCTCAATCTTCATTTGTTCTTTAATAATGCGCATATAATCTCCCGCTTCAGCTTATGGCTTGCGCTATACAACGTTCACTTTCGTCTCGTCTGCTTGAACATGGCTTGAACCCGTTACCGAGTCAAGGCTGACCGACGACCGCATTATCATTCACCATCACTGATCCAATTCTATACTGTGTCTAATCTTACAATCTGATACTATATACGCTTATATAGATCATAAAGTGGACTGTAAGATGGGTATAGTCACTTAGGAATGACGCAAACAGATTAGTTATTACATATCGACTGTGGAAAATCTAAATCACTTAAACGCCACTTTAGTAACTTTACAGAAACGAGCATCAGAGTACTATATATACGGATAAATAGATCATAAAGTCGACTGTAAGATGAATATAGTCACTTCGTCTGCAAAGAGTTTAGTTATTACTTAAGGACAGTGGAAAAGGAAAGTCGAAACGAGGGTCAGTTTTTTATTCACAAAAAAGATCATAACTTATCATAAATATTTTTTTTATTTTTTAAACATTTAACTGCTAGATTTTTAAATCTAAAGAAAAGTTTACTAGGAAAAATTCGACGCGGCCCGACACCAAATATTAATTTGACTGAAGATAAAAAAGTTTTATTAATTTTTACTTTTCGGTGGTTTAATTTTATTTGTTGAAACGTTTTTATTTTATATTTTTTGTGACTTTAATTTTTGTAATAATTATATGAATCGGCATCAAAATCTGTGAGTGAACATTCACCCCAATTTTTCCATCCTTAGGGTAGAATTTTTGTTTCTCAATTCAAATGGGACCAACTTAGAGGTGATAAAAAAGAAAAAAAAAGATTTATATGTAATATATATGTAATATATATATAATATATAATATAATAATCGACGTGTATGTATATATATATATATATATATATATACATACAGGTCGACTTGAGACCCTCCTCCGTTTTTTCGTCGGTTAAAAGTTAAAAAAACAATGTATCCATCCGTCTGTAACTCCGTAAAAATATTAACTTTCTTATTGATATATGAGATATACGAGCGTATTGGCTAACAGTTATTATTTAAATTAATCTCATTGCTAATGATCGTGAAGTTATAAAGCTTGAGTGATCATTTTTGGACGAGAATGCTGTAATTCCTGTCATTATACATACATTGAGTAATAAGAGTACGTGCTTACTCGTTGCATATCGTAATCATTTCAGATGATCTATTTATAGTATAGTAGCTTTTTAGTACGAATATGTTTCTGATACAGGTTTTTTTTTGTCCTCTTTGTATATAAAAGATGAAGTTATTACAATACTTCATCATAAACAGTTTAAGAAATCAAAGGATTTATAACAAGTAAGATTAGTAATTTTTAAAAGGTGCCAAACAAGCGTATGGCCCGTCTGACGGTAAGTGGCCACCATATCTTATAAATAAATAAAATAAATAAATGTTACCAACACTCACACCAATTAGCCTAGCCCCAAAATAAGCACTGTAAGGCTTGTGTTATGGGATACTAGGGTAACGGACAGAATACATATATTGTACACATATAAGTATATTTATATAGATATACATATTAAACATCCATGACTGGAGTACAAATGCTCGTGCTCATCACACAAACATCTGCTCCCACCGGGATTCGAACCCGGGCCTCTCGAGTCGGCGACACCATGAAACCCGGCGTACAAACCACTCGGCCAAGGAGGTCGTCAAATGTATGTAAATAGTGTCTTATAGACGCTAGCAATACCAAAAATATCGCTCGCACCGTTGCCTACCCTGACGGGGGTTACCATCCGTCCGGATTTGTCCGGACATGTATGGACTTTTTGCCTGTTGTCCGGACTTTGTCCAGCTTTTTAATTTGTCCGGTTTTTTTAATTAGAAGGAATATGAGTAAAACTACTCATTAAGTCATATCATATAAGTCAAATAATCTTTATTAAGTTCTCATTAATTTAAAACAAAATATAAATTATCTTCAAAAATCAACAACGAGACCCCCTCGCGATGCGAGCGCCTGCTACCACGCTTATAATATCGCTGCAACTTAGTGGGTGATGTTTGCATTTTGTGACTAAAATGTCCGGACTTTTATAGAAATGACCGGCTTTTTGTCAGGACTTTTCAAATTTTCAAATAGTAACCCTAACCCTGACCCAATCCCCTACCCCATGGAGCCCTGGAACCTTACTCACCAACAAGATCACAACACCACCAAAAGGTAGTGTCATTTTACCTTGATCTTCTGTATGGTGGAGGTAACTTCTCCAGACGGACGCTCCAATTAAATAAATAAATAAATATTCCCAACACTCACACCAATTAACCTAGCCCCAAGCTAAGCACTATAAGGCTTGTGTTATGGGACACTAGGGTAACGGATAGAATACATATACTGTACATATATAAGTATATTTATATAGAAATGCATATTAAACATCCATGACTGGAGTACAAATGCTCGTATTCATCACACAAACATCTGCCCCCACCGGGATTCGAACCCGGGACCTCTCGAGTCGGCGACACCATGAAACCCGGCGTACAAACCACTCGGCCAAGGAGGTCGTCAAATCTGGTGGTTTAGATGGTCAATTCAATGCAAGGTTTAGCATACCGCTAGATTTGACTCTAGCTTATCAAGATCAAACATCTGTTAAATTGGGTTGGCTAACAACCCCTCATTAATCCTTAAATACATTATCAATCATTAAATAACTGGCCGCATAACGAGTGATGCAAGTTTCACGCATCGAGCTCCATGTAATGAAGTGGAGCGTCTTCTAGGTCAAATAATTGTGTTTAAATTGCACAATTCAATTGGTTCATATAGCCCGTTTTCCTAGAAATATTTTTTTATTGAGCTTGACGCTGTAGCGACTAGTACAGTGTTTCCTAACCTTTTCAATACTGCTACCCCTGTAACCTATTAGGAAAACAGATTTTACCCCGACTTTAAAATGTTATTATCAGTCCAAGAAATTCCAATTTGGCCGCTACATCTTCGTCTCTAATAATGTCATCATCAGGTAAATCTCGCCCCGCTTCCCACACTGCTATCCGCTCGGGCTCGCTAGCAACAAGGAGCGCGTGCTCTATTATTATATAGTACTAGCTGACCCAGCGAACTTCGTACCGCCAAAAAAATAGGGGTTGGTGGTAGAAAGTTGAAAATTTAGGCATGTATGTATTTTTGTATGATGTATCATAAAAATATTTAAAAAAAAATCTCTAAAATGAAAAATAAAATTAGGGATATCCATCCCTATCCTACCCTTAACATTTAGGAGGATGAAAAATAGATGTTGTCCGATTCTCAGACCTACCCAATATGCACACAAAATTTCATGAGAATCGGGAAAGCCGTTTCGGAGGAGTTTAACCACAAACACCGCGACACGAGAATTTTATATATTAGATTTTCTTATTATTTAGATTTAACCAAATATTTAGGTTCTGTGTTACCCCCGAAGTATGACTGATTTACCCCCGGAGGGGTAATTACCCCCAGATTCGGAACTCAGAGAATAATACGTATGATCTGTGATAATGGTTTGGTGTCAGCAATTATTTTTATCCCGAGCTACTCCTGTATGTATGGGCTGCATTTATTGCGGTATTCACACCTATCAATCCACTCGAACGGGCCATAACCCATCACGTAGTCTGGTGATGCATGGCCGCTTACCTTTGAGCCTTGTCAATCCCAAGATATATGGATCCTTCTTTGGAGTATTGTCTTGATGAATAAGGTTTATGGTGCTGTTGTGTTTCTTTTAGTGGATAAGGGTCCATACTGGATAGAGGATCGGGGTCACGGTCCTTCCGTCCCGGGCAGCCATTCGGCCAGTCTCAGGGCTGGTTGAGTGGGTGAGCGCGATGGGGAGGGAGTCCTACATAACTTCGATAACTTCGTCTCTCACTCGGAGACTAGGTATGCGACACATTTTCCTAGTATTCTAAAAAGATTGGGTTCATGGCAGTAAGGTGAATCACCACCGTCCAGTTGGAGCTTCATATTTTCTGCCACTCCAACCTATATTTGCGACTTGACGGGACCCTTGTCCCAGATAAAACAAAAGTGATATTGCATTAAAAAAGTATCGATCTAACATCATCCAAAACAAACTTACCTCAGTCTCCACCAGTGGCAGTTATACTGCTCCTTTCTAATATCGCCCGTGAAGACATCCCACCTCCACTTATCCATCACCAGAGCGAACGGCAGGAAGGCCAGCTTGTCCATGGCCTGTGTGAACAGGTAGTTGATGTCATGTGCCGTGTCGTCCACGGACCGCTGCACCAGCCCCAGGGTCTGGAGGTGTCGGGGAGATGATACCGAAAGCGCCACAGCCTCCCCTATGGCTTCGTGGAAACCTGGTGGACAAAAATTGCTAGAGTTAATATGGGTGCGTCTTCCAGATTACCAGGTACTCTTATATTAAATAATATTGATTTAACAATGGCGTCTGAAGGCCTACGACCTTCTCTCTGTCTTCGTGGAAACCTGATGGATAAAGTACTTGGAAAACCTATTAGGGTTTGTTTGATACTTGTTATGGAGAGCAAAGGCCAACTAAAATGGATCAGTTGTCATCTGTCAGGGAGGAAACCCTAAAAAGAAAGCGACTACATCTATTTGGCTTTCCTCAACCGTTACCTTCCAGAAACTTGTCACATAACTAATGTCTTCTCGTATCTCAGGTGTTTTATGGCGGAAATTAAACAATTGACAACGCGTGGCGCCTCCATATGTAGACCGTGACTTGAGTCATTATTCAGAGACTGCGACGGAGATCACGCATCGAGATGCGAAATATTATAACGATGCGTGTGCGCAATAGTGATTCGCTGTTTAATCGTGAGTGATTTCAAAGATATTTCTGTAATCTAAATCTCACCAAAAACTTTTTCATGACAAATGTTGCCAAGGCGCGATCATATCACTCGCACTGTCAGAGGTTATCAGATCTCATCTAGAGCCAATAAGCTTCGAACTCTACACGCCCTAACTCTACAAGGAGTAACTTCACAAACTCTATACACAAAACAAAAATACAACACCACCAATAGCTTACGCCAGTATTGTTATTGCACTCTGCATATAACAAGAGTACCGCGATGATATGTAACGCGTTTTTATCTCGCTCAAGTGTCAAATTACTATGGAGTTTGACAGTTAGACGCGATTTAAAACGTGATATAATTAAATTGTAGTGCTCATGCTACGGGAGCAAGTGTCTTCTGTATATGTAGATTACTTCCATAAAAGCAGACGGTCTCACCAATACGAGTGAAAAATACATCGTACCGTACTCCTTGCTTATTTTCTCTAGACTTGTCAAATCATATTTACTAAAAGAAATTTATTAAATTCAAAACAATAGGAATCGAGAAACATGCTGCGATAAAGTAAAGAAACAATGACTCGTATATTATACATTTGAAAATATACCTTAATGTGAACACTATAGGATCCAATTTCTAGTTAATACCGTGACTAGTTCACAGTCTGTGCCATAAAAATGGTATCGTTTCCGCAACTTCGAGAGTTAACTGAACGGGATCGAGCTTCCGCGTCCGCTTTCTCTGTTCACTGTATCGAATGCCTTTACTATCTACATACATAAAGTTGCTGTAGGCTTTGACCTACATGTGAATAGTAGGAGAGCCTAAGCGGGAATTTTGGGATTTACTCGAGCATGGTAAAATAACATAAGGGGAAACCTTGCACCTTGAGAAGCACTCCCACCATACCTGAGCTCTTTATGTAGGGCTGGTGGAGCCTAAGCGGGAATTTTGGGATTTACCCGACCGTGGCAAAATAACATAAGGGGCAACCTTGCACCTTGAGAAGCACTCCCACCATACCTGAGCTCTGTGTGTAGGGCTAGTGGAGCCTAAGTGGGAATTTTGGGATTTACCCGACCGTGGCAAAATAACATAAGGGGCAACCTTGCACCTTGAGAAGCACTCCCACCATACCTGAGCTCTGTGTGTAGGGCTAGTGGAGCCTAAGTGGGAATTTTGGGATTTACCCGACCGTGGCAAAATAACATAAGGGGCAACCTTGCACCTTGAGAAGCACTCCCACCATACCTGAGCCCTTTGTGTAGGGCTAACGTCTAGGGTAGCAAAAAAATTCAACAAACGGTTATGACTTTTGGTCGCGTCCAAATCGAAATTTGTTCACGTTACGTTTCTGATGGCGGAATAAATATTGATCTGCCAGTTTGCATGGTGCAGGGGTGTCCATACGAAGGGATAGAATATAGGACAGAAATATTTGAGTGCGTTAAACATTGAGAAGAGATTTTACATGAACCTTCCAGTAGCTCCTATTCATAAGGCTGACGATTTGGACGAGATTAAAAGTCATGGCCGTTTGTTGGATATTTTTTCTTTGCTACCCTAGACGTTCGACCCCATATAAAGAGTTCAGGTATGGCGGTAGTACTTTACAAGGTGCAAGGGGGCAACCTTAATGTTATTTTACTGCGCTCGAGTAAATCCCAAAATCCCCGCATGGGATCCCCATACTAAAATAAATAATGAAACTGTTTTTTGAAGCTATACTCTCGAAAAGTGAGAATTTACAGTCATTGCTGTGTAGCGCAAAAATTGTGATCAAAATTGCTATATAGCGCACGACAAGAGTATTTTAAGAGTTAACGCTATATCACGTTTTTTATCGCGTCTAATCGTCCTGCTCTATTTGGAGAGTCCATCTGCCTGATACCCGATGTAAGCTTCACTATAAAAGACCTCATTAAAATAAAACTATTTTTTCGTGATATTATATTTGTATCAGTGAGTTAAGTTTTTAAGGCGCCACGAAGCAGGAGAAGGTCTAATTCCCAATAAAGAACCATCGGTCACTGCTGGCAAGGAAGGCACACCCTAGAGTTTTAGTGGGTAGGCCCGTGGGGGAGTCCCACATAACTCCGTCGCCTAACCCAATCATTGTCGTTGGCGTATAATCTATATAAACTCAAAGGTGACTGACTGACATAGTGATCTATCAACGCACAGCCCAAACCACTGGACGGATCGGGCTGAAATTTGGCATGCAGGTAGATGTTATGACGTAGGCATCCGCTAAGAAAGGATTTTGATCAATTCTACCCCCAAGGGGATGAAATAGGGAATGAAAGTTTGTATGAAACTTTGTCAATTTTAAACCGATCGGGCTGGGACTTTGCATGCAGGTATAAGAAGAATCATAGATTAATATCATTGTGTATAATACAAGCCTGAGAACAAAAACTGTAGTCTACACTTCAGCTCTACACCGGAGCGAAGCGAGGGCGGGCAGCTAGTCAAGCACATAACGCGAGTGTCTAGAGATCTATGGTTAGATCGCTATCAGGTGTTTAATCTTGTTTGTTACTGCATTAAGATAAAAAAGAAACCGTCATTAGTCATTATATAAATGCAGGCAGAAAACATCTTGTAACATCGTAAGTCTAACTTATAATTTATTAGCAATGTCAACACACATATACACGATTGTACTAAAAACCGGCTGATGAACTGAACTTGGCCTCCATTAATAGAGATTGCACTGCCAAAAAAGTTTTACAACAACTTAACGATATTAGATGTGGCAATTTATCAATTGACTAGTGATTGCCAGTTGTGAATGCCAGTAGATGACTTGTTAGCTTTCAATGCGATGTTATCTCTTCTCCTTAAGTTGCTATACCCAACAGGTTCATAAATGTACTTTTAATATTTTATCATAACATATTTGTAAACATTATGGTTGCAATAAATATTGAGTATAATTACCTTACTTACTATATAACGTACTTATGTTATAGGGCATGTATATTTTAAATTATTTGTTTGAAAAATAAACGTTCGTCCAGTAATTTCATACCAAAGTTTTATATTATTCGCTTGAAATACCATGTCCTCGTCCGCAGGATGATTTATGAGTTAAAATTTTTATTACAATCAGTTCAACTTCATTTTAAATAAAAAATATCCGATATGAAGTTTTATTCCGTTTAGAAACCCACTAAAATGTATACTTTCCTGACATACAAAACTGCCACTGTCCATCTTTAAAATCCCCTATATTTCTATATCATTATAATAGATTTAGCGAGATAAGCATAAAACAAATAGACATTATTAATGTCAAAGTAAAAATCTTTGATAATAATATTTCGTTCAACATTTTTGATAAATGTCGCTTCTATTTATCCTAGATCATTGGATCTACCACAGATGCGTACCAGTTAGGTACTACGTAACAAGACGCCTCTAATAGTGTTTCTCCTTTTAATTTCCATGATTGTTGTGAAGATAATACATAATAATCATGTGCTATCAAGCGGCATAGTAATTAATGTTATTTATATAAGAAAATTCAACGCAGATTTTAGGTTTTTAGATTTTATCATAGTAATAAGGTGTGTTAACGTTATTTTCGTTTACCCATTTTTCTTTTTTCTTTTCTGGCATGGTTCTCTAGCCCTGAACTTTGGTTTTACAGCGGTGTATCCTTGTCATTTTCTATACAGAGTGAAGGGGGGGCACTGATATTGGGTTTGGTTTTGGGTTTGGAGAGTAGTGGCAGAGTCGACATTAGTGTTTAGGTAATCAGATGCATGTGTCCTACAGTTGTGTTTATAGTTTTTTTTAGTAATGTACACTGGTACTTAATTTTTTTCCCCTATTTTGCTATCTAGTATACATATGTGGTTATGAGTAGTCATGCTCTCTTAAAAATCTCTTCGGCGGTGTCGTGTGAGGCGGGTCGTTACGTTCCCTAAAAAATGGTTGAGCGAAGCGATGGCTGGTTCATGCGTCATGCTCGTGAACGGGTGCTGCCAGCGGAGATGAGTCTGCTCTTGCTACATTGGGTACTATTATACGTTGTATTTAACTTTAATGGTACATTTGTTTTTATGCCTAAACAGTAGGACACGGCATTCCTAAACTTTTTTTATTTTTAAATCTCTTTTTATATTTTTTATTTTATAGTCATAATTGTTTTATCATTTACATTTGTAACGGAAAGTGACTTCATGAGTTATCTCATATTGAAGTCATTTTTCAAATTGACGACTCTGTATATAATACGGGGAGAAAAAAACAGCCCTTGCTGAGTTTCTTGCGGGTTCTTCTCAGTACAAGGTCTCCCGCCGTAGATTTGCGAACCGATGGCGTAGCTTTTCGACATTCACAAGTACTTGTAACAGCCTAGACTGAATAAACGATATTGACTTTTGATTTTTTTTGAATTTTATTATGATTATATAAAAGTAACAGAAATTATCTGCATTGTGTTTTGCTTACTTAAGACAGGTTTTAGCGACCAACTTCATGCTGTTAATATTTTCTGTTACAGTGATGCGCGCGCATCT